TCATACAACAATTCTAACAATTCAAGTCGCAGACAGGCTGCAATGTTAAGTTATGTCACTCATAATGAAACCGACTCGCGTTTTCCTTTTCCACGGAAGAACCAGCCAGCCCGGCTCTTCTATATATTTACCCGCAACGATTTTCAATGATTTCACGTGAGTTCTCGGATACTTACAGTACCTACGCTGCGCCGGGGACGAGGCCAGGCCAGAGCCCGAGTCCGGCTCTAAAACTCGAAGCCTTCTACCTTGAAACCTTCGGGCACACTGATTCTCTCTTCTCTTCTCTTCCGTTCACGCGTGGTTCGACCTCTACAGAAATAGAGAACGAGAACGAGAAGAAGAAAGATGAAGACAGAATGGGAGAGAGAGAGAAAGAGATGCGGGCGCGATTGATGTTAGTCGTAGCGTGACTCGCGCGCAACTGCGCGATTCCTTGGCTTTTCTCATCGTAGAAACGACGATGCTGCCACCTGACAAGCGGGGGAGGCTTTTATCAGCTTATCAGAACAATTAACGTAGATCCAGAATGCTCAGAACCGTATGGACCTACATTACTCCTAATGACTTGAAAAATTTCCATGAAGCAAGCTTTATTGACGAGTAGGTAATCAGAAGAGCTTATTTCACAACTAATTGAACCTAACGCGCATAACAGTTGTGCAACGCGATGACCATTATATCTAGAAATATTTGAACTCCAATGATTCAGATCGTAAGGGTTGCTCTTATTTAATAATAATCTTAAACACTCTGCCATATCCATGAATAAACTTCTGATAATAGAATACTTAATAGAACTGTAAAATTACAGTAAATTTAGTTAACATTTGTTCAGTAGAAACAGGATTGGTACGAGTCATTTTACTGTTACGTTAAACTCTAAGTAGAATAGGACGTGGTCAGACGCGCGCGCGTCCAGTACGTAACGCCCGTTACTACTTAAACGCTAGGCTCCCTCGTGCCGCGTCGTTTCATGCTATTCAATTTAAATTATCAATCAACAATAAATTTATCTTGTTATTACGAAAGTAAGGTTTAATTATTCTTTATGTAAAGAGCTTTTAAGCAGTCTCAGGTAATATCAGAATAATTTGATGTACACAGTTGGGTATATCTCATTTACAGTCTGCTTGGTATTGTCTATAAGTAGACTGCGGATTTTATGCATTTATAAAATATTTAAGAATTTATAAACATTGCACGAATTAATGATTAGGTGATAAAGGAAATATTTATATAAAATACAAATGCATGTAAATCTGCTGCCTGTTTATGATGAATTCAGGAAACTATTCTCAACATTTTATTCGTTTTTTGTATACATGTACACTTCGCATTAGTTAGTTATACTCAATTATCGTAACAAGTCAATTCCCAATTAATGATGAACGCACCGTTTCAATAACGAATCACGATATTTTGAATATCACTTCATTACGATTACACAATTGAGATCGAAATGTGTAATACGTTCACCTGTTATTGTTATAACATTATTGCGAAAGGATTACGTTACGCGGCCTCGTTTTTTTAAATATACAGGCTGAGACAGTAACGAAATCAAATGATTGTCATTTTTAACGAAACAATTCTAGCTTTACGTATCATTCATGATTGTAAATCGATTGGAGACATGATTCTGATGAATTTTATGGTTCTAACATAGGCACGCTGTTATTTTCGAATGAATCAACAATTGAGATCAAACGAATTTCTAATGATTACTTCGTGTCGACTCACCCTGTATACGCATCAGACGTATATTAATTTATTTCTGACATGTATATAACACAATTTATTTATACTTATGCGTAGGTACATAATAGTTATGCGAATACGTTGTATATACAGTCATACGTCGGTATATGTATATATAAATATATTATATATGTGGAAGTCAAAAATTAATAAAGTTAAAAAAATATAATCCTCAAAATAGAAACTATAACCGTAGTTTTTTTTTTTTCTCTCTTCTCAGCTATCACGCTATTGTTTTTCACTTAGGTATAAGTACTTCGTACTCGTTTCTCATTTTTCTATTATTACTTCTTCGAAAGTGTATCTGACATTCTATTCTTCACTTCTCATTTCTCCGCTCGCACGAAAAGCTATCTTATTACTGTTCACTAACATTCTTGACAGAGTTAAACAAACACGGTTTCATCTTCCTTTATACTCAAATGTTGAACTACTTACATACTGAAACTTGAAATCGCTTACACTCTCTACTACATCTCTAACAATAATCATCAGACTACGGATTTTATGCATTTATAATAAAATTAGGTGCGTAAAAGCACATATAGTAAACAGAAGAGAATATCATGTCTATAAGATCAAACAGCATTCGTATTAAATTTCAATAAATTCAAATCGATAGACCATAAGTTTTACTTTGCATAGAAATCCGTGGTTTAACAATCATCGGAACTTATCTTCTCATTATCGCTCCTGTGTCTGATTCTAAAAAATATGGAACACTTTTTCCTTCAACTTCCGATACGTGGGAAAACATGATACTGGATTGTCACGAAAATTTTTCTGCGAATGTCGTGAGTTAAACGTGGGGGCAACAACTTTCGAACAGCATCGTGGAATAATTAACAAGAAAATAATGAGGAACATTATATATATATATGTATATAATTCTGTATGTGAATGTAATAATAGATCCGAGCTGATAATACTTTGCTAGGATGGTTCAAACCGTTTATCATAAATACGTACAATATCGCCAAAATGACGTTATTTACATAATCGTTAACGGTTACATAAGCGTAATCTCGAAGCTCTTAAATGAAGTCAATAATTTTAACATTTATCTACGCACCGTGTCCTTTCACATTACTCTAATGGTCTTATCTGACCGCAAATAAGAAAAAAGAGAAAATGCGATAAAGAGATGTAAAAGGGTCAAATCGTGACTGACCTGATTCAATCTCAAAATTATAACGAATCAGGTGATTTTTCCTCGAAGAATAAACTCACTAATCTCCATACTGACAATAAAATAAATGAGAATCCAGTCAAGCAATTTTCAACGAGCTAATTTCTGTTTAAATTAGGAACATTGCAATAAAATATATTATAAAATATATAGGCGCTTTATACTATACAGAGTATAAAAAAAAATATACTATGTATGTTGTAATGTATACTTTATACAGTATATCAAATTATAGATTAACCAGTATAAAATAATATGCATATACTTTATATTTTATGTCGTATCTTATACTGTATACAGTACTTAGGTTCTATTATGGAATAATAAAAATTACTCTATATCCTCAGTCTCCGTTAGAGACTCTAACAGAGTCGATTTGTCCTCTTCGTGCCCGTCGATCTCTGGCTCCTCGACGGTTTGCCTCCACATCGCACACCATCTTCTAACATACAAGAACATCATAACGCTCGCACTTACGCAGCAAGCGAACACTGCTACGGGCATGAAAACGTCGTCCTGAATCTAAACAGAAAATCGAACGTCAATTCAATTGATTAATTATCTTTCGAATTTTTTCTTCCTATTTTATTTTAATTTTAAACAATCATCTTTAATGTTAAATAAGTAGAAAAACAATATAAAAAGTTTGTAGATTATTCTATCTNATTGCATTATTTAAGAGTTTTGCAATGTGATAAAAGCAGAATTTGTTGTATAATTTTGATGAAGTCCATGTTTAGTCAGTTTTAGAATGAAAAGTGAGAAGTTTAATTAAGAACACAGTAATTTAGCAGTCTCTGTTTTCCTCTGATACTCGATCAGTTTCAGGGTTAAAAGGATCAGAAATGAGGAATCAAGGTCGAGGATGGAGATGAATAATGATGAGAGATTATCGTACGTGATTGACGTTGTACTCACGATATGTGAACAACCGAATTGGGTTTAAAAATGTTTTCCTTGATCTCCACTTCCGTTTTCTACAGGCGACGATCCGGGCCGGGGAGAACCTCGCCTGAGAGGAGAGATTTTCCGCGAAAACGCGCAGATGCGCGGATTCCGTGTTCTAGGAGAAGCTGATACAGGCTTCCGCGAACTACCCGCAGGAGTTGCGCTTGCGCTGGGAATATTAATCTTCCTGTTCGAAAATGAATGGAAAACAGGGGCGATAAATGAAAATGGGACGTTCGAAGTTTCAACTGAATTTTTCTTCTTTATATTATGATAAAAAATAAAAATGTAANGATTTGAACAGCTCTATAATTCATTAGGTATATTCAAACTGCAAATAAACTTACTTGGACATTAGTTAGTACAGTCGGTCCGACGAAGTTCCCTTTCTCAAATCCGCTAACAACAATTCCTCTCCCATCCAAAACTAAATCCGCTCCCTCTTTGACTCCGCTCTCCACTAATTCACAAATCCTCTGCTTCGATTGTGGAGATATGACCGGACCCAGATCCGTTCCTGGGACACTTCCAGCGTTGACATTCAACTTCTTGGCTGCTGCAACTAATTCTGGAATCCAATCCCTCGATTTTCCAACAAATATAGCGACAGACAGGGCCATACATCTTTGACCAGCAGCTCCGAAAGCCGCCCCAACTATCTGAGAAATAGTTTTATTCTTGTTCGCGTCTGGAAGCACGACGCAATGATTCTTTGCTCCCATGTTGCACTGCACGCGCTTTCCATTGGCACTGCTTTTCTTATATATGTATTTTCCCTGAAGAAATGGAAAAATTGATAAAATATAAAAAAATTAAAAGCCAAAATGTTCAATGAAAATGAAAAACACACCGCTTGATCCGAACCAACGAAAGATACAGCCTTGATGTCCGGGTGCTCGCAGATGAAGTCAACAGCCGCGTGCTGGCCGTGAATGATATTTAACAATCCCGGCGGAGCCCCGGCTTCGCTGAACAATCGAGCGAGAATCATTGAAGCCCCGGGAACTCTTTCGGACGGTTTCAAGATGGTCGCGTTTCCACAGGAGACCGAGATAGGGAAAGACCATAATGGGATCATGGCTGGGAAATTGAAGGGGCAAATGGAGGCAGTCACACCTAAGGGAACTTTGTAGGAAATTATGTCCATATCTGTGGCAATGTTTGGCGTGCTTTCCCCCATTTGTAGGGAAGGTATTGCGGTGCAAGCGTCGACTACCTCTGCAAATTAAAGCGAAACTGGATATGATCATTTATATACATTTAGCGTTTTATACAGTTTTATATGGATATTAGTTCCCTTCAAATATTTTATCAATCATTCAATAAAACATTGTATTAATTACTGCATAAACATTTATACGAAATATTGTATTAATTATTTTTTGTAACGTTAATGATACAAATGGAACTTACGTAGTCCCCGAAGAACGTCACCTTCCGCATCGGCCATCGTTTTCCCATTTTCTTTCACCATGTTCTCTGCTATTTCTTTCTATGAAACAGCACGAAATAAATTTATCAACGTTCTAATAATAAAAAAAATAGTAATATTGAACTTAAAATTACCGAATTTTCCCTTATAAGCGCTTGGTATTTTAGCATCAACGTTTGCCTAGTTAACACGCTGGTATTCTTCCATTTCTCATAAGCAGCTTTCGCGTTCGTCACCGCCTGTTCCATTTCCTCTTTCGTGCACTTCGGGGTTCGACATAAGAGTTCGTTGGTTGCCGGGTCGTGAACTTCCGTGAATTCTGTAGCCTTCGACTCTGGTACAAAATAATTTACATACATATTCTATTAAATAAAATTAATATCTTATTAAAATGTTCTCGTTAAGGTAAAGTAATTACCTACGAACTGGCCATCTAAGTACATTTTAACGGTTGGCGCGCTAGCGTAAGTTCGCCGAGCAAATTGCGCCTGAAATATCAATTAATACTTAATTGAATTTACATCGCCTCAGTTGAAAATAAAATAAAATTATTCTAGTCAAATGACAATTATAAAAACCAACGTGGAATCATTTT